CTGCCACGCCATGTGGTCACCTCCTGGGCAGGCGGGAATCAAACTCATGCAGAAGTGGCTTTAGCTTCTTTGTGCTGTGCTTTAACCTGCTGCGCCGCCAGGGAGGGCCCTGCACAAATAAATCTTAAAGAAAAAGAAAAAGTACGCTAAGTGAGTGCCAACTGTCCATCTAAGGAAGAACAGATACAATATGATAGACATTCAGCCACAAAAAAGGAATGAACTGGTACATATCACAACATGGATGAACTTTAAAGACATTATGCTAAGTGAATTTAGCCAGCAAAAAGGACATATACCACATGATTCCACTTATAGGGAGGACCTAGGCAGACAGATTTAAAGTCACAGGGGGGTTAGGGCGGAGGGGAGAGGAAGAATAGGGAGTTATGCTTAATCATTCTGTTTGGAATGATCAAGTTTTTGAAAACAGTAGTGATTAGTGTACAACATTATCAATGTAATTAATGCCAATGAACTACATGCAAAATGGTTAACATACCATACAGATGTTAACACAGGCTTTACAAAGTTCATGTCATACCAAATACCACTGAATTACACACTCAATTGTGTCAATTTCATGGTATGTGAATCATATCTCCAGTTGTGCCCCCCATCTCAAAATATCAAAATCCATACCTTTTTAAGTGAAAGATAATTATTTTTGGTGCTTTGGAAATACTGGCCCTTACAGCTGTTTCTTGCTTGGTTTCACAGAAGGAGCAGTGAATTTGGTTGTTCCAGGTCAGTGTATCTTGTTGAAAAAAACATTGGAGACAGTCCTGTTGGGAAAAGAAAAAAAAAAAAATTATGAGCAAATTGGATCAACGGCAATCTAGATTTCTGTGATATTAAGATTTTGGAATCTCTATGGAAATGTAATTCTCAGTAAATTTCCCAAAGTTAACAAGTCAAGAGTACCAACATCATAGTTGCAGCCTGTAAAGGGGTAAGATCTCCCTCGCAAAGGAAAGGCTGTCTCCCACTTAAGGAGCAGAACCCTGTCTGTCACTTTCAACCTCTAAATCCACATTGAAGTGTTTGTTTTAATTCAGAATTAGGCAATTGTTTCATTTATTCATCTTATCACAAAAATGACTTGGAGAGTGAAAAAATGAGAGCAGTATTTTGGAGTGGGCCTTAATAAAGACAACACATCAAATGAGACCCACGCCCAGGCAGCCAAGTGTCACTAGGAGCCTGTCTCTGCACACCGATGACCTCAAAGAAGAAACAAGCACAGATCTGGCCTGCTCCTTCATCTTCAGGATCATTCCAAACAATCTTTAGCAGTTTGATTTGAGAGTAAGTTTACTTCCAAATAAATAGGGTTCTGTTCTCCCATCCACGCATATGGGAACACTTAGCAATAGATATGCTTTTATAATTTGGGAAGAAAAGTATAATTGTGTATTTCTCTATTTTGTGTATTTCTCCTATTATCTCCTGACTGTTCCCTGCCTTCAGCCACCAGCACTCCGCACCACCCCCATTATGAAGACAATTCAAAAGGCAGGCCGGGACACTACATTCCATACATTCCATACTATCTCCTCAACACATCTCTCAATTTGGCCCAAAGCACATGAAAGCTCAGGAAAAAGTCAGAATCTTTTATGTCTAGACCCTAGTCTGTGCCTGTAGCCATCAGATGAGACAGGGTTATAAACATTTGCAAGAAAATACAAATACATATACCACACTATCTCAACATACAAGTTGGATAAATGCCACCACCTCTCCCTTCAGTCTTACAGCGAGGTTGTTTTATTGAGAACATTTAGAAATACAGCCTGATATAGTAATTTTGCTGTATGTTACTCTTCTACAAAAACACTGAAATGGACTTCCAATTTTTGTTTTAGGTTTTTTAAAAGTTAGAAAGCAGTCCCTTCATACTTAGAAAATGTGGAAAACAGCTCTGACAAAAACCAGAGCAGAGTAGAGAAAGACAAAAGATACATCCAGGAAAGAATGGAAACACCAAGTGCTGGTGAGGATGTGGAGAACAAGGAGCTCCCCTATATTGCTGGTGGGGGTGCACCTTGGTGCAGCCTTTATGGAAAATGGTATAGATGTAGATTTATTATTTTTAAAAAGAGTTATTTATGCATACAAGAATTGGGGTACAGGTGTAAAGGCCACAGGTGCAGGGGGGTGAGAGGATCACCAAAGAGAGTGGGGGGGGGGCAGAACAGGCAGACTGACTGAAATCCACTGCTGAGGGGAGCAGCGGGTGAGATAGGCGAGGTCTGCTGTGCCATGTGGGTCACCTCCCTGGCCAGAAATTGAACTCTTTTTGCAGTGGCTTTCGGTGGCTTCATAGTGCTGTTTTAATCCATTGTGCCACCAGGGAGGACCCTGGAGGTAGATTTTTCAAATAACAAGGAAGCACCATATGATTCAGCAATACCTCTGCTAGGTATTTACCCAGAGCCCATGAAAAACAATGGGAAATGAGCTATGTTCTTCTGTGTTCATAGCAACATTACCCACACTTAGCAAGTCTTGGAACCAACGGAAGTGCCCAGCAGCAGATGACTGTATAAAGAAAATAAGGAATATAGATACTCAATGGAATATTCTGCAGCTATTTGAAAAGTCAAAACAGTGTCTCTGGAGCAAAATAAATAGCCTCGGCAGTGATAATGCTTAATGCAATGTCAGAATATGTAAGTGAAATCGTGATATCTGCCATATCTATGAGTATAAATAAAACAAAAAGCATACACTGGCAAAGCAGAGAAACAGTTTTGAGACTTTGCAAACACACGCTGTTCACCAAGGGCAACAGGAGGGGGTGGTGGGGGGTGAATGGTTGAGAGAGGAAGGGGTGGGGCTGGAAGGGGGTGGGGCAGTGCAGGGGGGGCTTGTTGGAGGGTGAGAGAAGCGGTTTCAGATATGTATTTCTTATTCTTTGTAAGCAACTAGTTAAAATAAGACCTAAAAAAAAATCCCTACCTGAAGAGAACATTCATCTTCTGATGGAACCGGGAGGGAGAGGACTGTGAAGGCCTCATTCCTGTAGGTGCAACTCTCACACTTTAAGCACACGATGCCGTAACTGAGCTGCCCTTCAAACAGCCGGGTGATGATGGAGGACTCGCTGGTGACCACCTTCCTGCAGCACCTTGGAACAGAGCCTTTATCATATGATCTTCTTCGGTGGTACTAAATCAAGAAATTTGCCCGAAATCAATTTTTCGTCAAAGAAATGTTTTAATAAGATACCTTTTTTTTTTTTCCCTTGGAATCCTTACTACCTCAAACCATTTCAGGATTAAACAATAAAGTATGATTTTTTTAACAGCATGTATTCTAAGTGGTTGCTGTAAATCCGGTTGTTTCCCTTTTTAAGGGAGTACACTTTGACTTTACAAGGACTTCCCAGCCTCAGCAGAAGACAGTAAGTCCTCAATACCCATGTTCAATACTTGGAAACTGACTTTAAGCAAAACAATACAGGGCCCTCCCTGGTGGTGCAATGGGTTAAAGAGCAGCACTATGGAAGTATCCACAGCCACTGCAACACAAATTCAACCCCCAGCCAGGGAGGTGACCCACATGGCACAGCAGCTCTCTCCTATCCCTCCGACTGCTCCCTCAGCAGTGTACTTCATTGACCTGCCTGTTCTGTTCCCCACTGTTTCTGGTGAATCCTCCCACCCTTTGCACCTCTAGCCTGTACCTCAGTTCTTGTATGCATAACTGTTTTACAAAAGAAAGCAAAACCATATATAGTGAAAACAATCTGACTATAGGCCAATAGATATGCACAAAAGTTCCTATGGCATATTTCCTGCACTAAACCATCACCAAACTTGTTAAACGTACTTGGGGTCCTACATTAAACAATCATTTATATTCATCATCTTCCACTTATTCCCGTTTAGGGTCACTGGTAATCAGAGCCTTTCTCAGATGCATGGCGGGAACCAGGCCTGCACAGGACAACCACGGTCACACCTGCACCCATACTGGAGTAATTTAGACACTGATGAGCCTAGTGGGCACTTTGCAATGAGGTAGGAAACCCACAAAGATATGGGGAGAACATGCGAACACCTCACAGTATCCTAGCCAGGACCCGAGATTTATTTTTCTCAACCTTATGCAACACCTGCTGTTTACATCTTAGAGACGTCAACTCCAAGTTCAGCTCTTACTTGGAGCTGTGCACTGCTCCACTTTGTCTTGCTTGTTTCACCACACCCTGCTGTGAGGTCTTCCACCCTGACCCCAATTCCAAGTCGGGCCTTGGGGATAGATTGCTACTTATTTTATATTGGCTGTAGAGGAGGATCTAAGTGATTTTTGCTGACCCCCACCTGCTTTTCTAGCTTAACACACACACACACACACACACACACACACAAATGCTGTCACGAATACTTTGTCAGTAAAAATGAAACTGCAGATGAGCGTGCTTCCTGGCTATCATCTCTGCTCTTTTATGCTCAGCATTCCCTGAGTGTCAGCTATCAGGCCAGTGGACCTCAGCACCGGAACATGGCATAGCACAAGGCCTCATCTTCCCTAAGGCTGGCTCTGACATAAAGGATGAAGCAGTGAGTCTGACAAAAATCAGGGCTGGGCCCTCCCTGGTGGTGCAGCAGGTTAGGATGCAGCTCTCCAGGTTAGCTGCAGCCACTTCAGTGCAGGTTTGATCCCTGCCCCGGAGGTGACCACATGGTGAGGCAGACTTCTCCTGACCCACCCGCTGCTGCCTTCAGCAGTGTACTTCATTGATCTGCCTGTTCTGCTCCCCAATCTGTCTCTGGTGAAGCCTCTCGCCGCACCTGCACCCCAGGTGCAGGTGCATTTGTTTGCATAAATAAACAAATCTTTAAAAAAGAAATCCAGAGCTGCTGGCAACTTCAGGTTTCATGCAATGTATGCCCTAATGCAACAGAATTGGGCTTGGGCCTTTTTAGTATGAAGAACACTTTGCAGTATATCCATATCCTTAAACTGACTACTAGGCTGAGTATTTCCAAGGGTTATAGATACGAACAACATTTAAATTCCATACATTACATATGAATATATTTTTGTATAGTGGAATTCCAAAAGTAAATTGTTGTTTAACTGGATAAAACCCTAGTGCTTACAATTTAAAAAATTGTCATTTACATCCATTTCCAGCAGCATTGTGGATGGTTGTGCTGAAGTCAACAGCCAACTCTTACTAGCAACAAATCAGGGGTCAGGTTCTAAAAACAGTCCAAAGACGCTCCACTGATAAAGAGCTGCTTTTGCGAAGCCTGTGCAAAAGGCGACAAGCTGCTGCGCACACACTCTCAGAGCGGAGCACCCCAACCAGCCCTCAGGCATTCACCAAGGTATGTCGTGGTTACCATCGGTCAGGGCACAAGAAGTTCAAGGGGGCCACCCTGGCAGTGGACTGCTTCTAGGCATTTTACCCTTTAAGTTTCTGCCTAGACTCTCAGGTAAATCGAAGTAAATGTTTGTTTTCAGCAAACCAGCTGTCATTTATGTTAACACGTTGAACTAGAATCCACCTGAACTGGGCCCTGCCTGGTGGCGCAGTGGGTTAAAGCACAGCACTGTGGAGCTGATGCAGACACTGCAGCTTGCTCCCCTCAGCAGTGTATTTCAGTACATCACCTGCTCTGCTCCCCACTCTGTCTCTGGTGAATCCTCTCCCTGCTCCTCTGGCCTGTATCCCAGTTCTATATGAATAAATACATCTTTAAAAAGCAAAACAGGCCCTCCCTGGTGGCGCAGCAGGTTAAAGCACAGCACTAAGAAGCTACAGCTACTTCAGCATGAGTTCAATCCCTACCTGGGAGCTGACTGACATGGCGTGGCAGACCTCTCCTGACCTGACCACTGCTCCCCTCAGCAGTGTACTTTGTCGGTCTGCCTGTTCTGCTCCCCACTCTGCCTCTGGTGAATCCTCTCACCGCCCCTGCACCTCTGGCCTGTACCCCAGCTCTGTATGCAGAAATCAACAAATCTTTAAACAAAATGCCAAATAAAACTGATGTCACTTGATCTTTAGGGGACATGCTCACCCCCCAATACAAGTGGGCTGTGTGTGAATAAAGACACACATTCAGTTTTGCTATAAAAACAAGATGAGCGAATTAACTGCTTTTGCAAGAGGTAGGTGAAATATTCAACTTGATTCTTCTAGAGGGATAAAGGGAGATGGAAGGAGGTCTTCATTTGGCAGTCATCACCTGTATGAATTCTTCAGCGGACCCTATCACCCTCCCACCCCCTTTGAGTATCTGCCACTTTTAGCACGTGTCTCCCGTTTGTCAGGACTTGACACTGTAGTTGTGTGACACTAATGTGACCACTTCTGACTGTATCAAACACTGGGAATACCTAGTGGCTTCTCCCTCCCGGTTTCATTTTCCAAGCCATCATAGTCAAAAAACCTGAGAAGCCAACGGTGCATTACCATTAGCACCTGCTTCATTGAACTTATGCTGCATGTGGCTGCTGGTGAGTGACCTCATGACAATGTCAAGTTTCTTTGTCGTGATGGTGTCATGGCCATCTTTGTCAACAGAGTGAAAGCTTCCTAAAAGTCCAGTGGTGAGTTAATCAGCTGATCAGCCACAGGACAGTACAGGGAGGGAGGCTGCATGCATCCAGGCACTCAGACCAGCTTTGCAGGAACACAGCTGCCACCAAGGCACCCCCAAGACTGGGGCTGGAGGGGGACCCCACTGCCAATAACGCCTGCCGAGACCCTGCCAGTGCCATAGCCACTGATTTCCATTTCAGTATCTCAGTCATTGCAACAGTCATTTGCAGAGGGAACCAGGTGACTGGTTTCCACACCTGCAGACCCACTGGCACCACCAAGGGAGCTTCTCAGAGGACAGGCTCAGGCTTTCTGATTCAGTAACACAGGAGTGAGGGCCTTGAATCATGCTGTGAAAGTGTCCCAGGTGATTCTGATGCTCAGCTAAGCTTGGCGAATACAAACTATTTAAATAATCTGAACCCTCCCCCCACCCCACACACCTGTGTGTGGCACAAAATAAGCAAATGTTGACTGAACAAAACAATGAAAAAGTTGCTGATAAAATGAAAGGCTATCTGATTCCAAAGGCCATTAATTCCACTTACCTTTTTCAGAGCTTCATGAAGTTCATTCAGGACGTAAATCAAGAATTCCTGGGCATCTTGTTGCCTCTTTTTCATAAATGCAGGGTACAGGTTGCCAAGAGCTGACCAAAATATTTCTGGTGACACACAGTCTGAGTCTCCAAGCCACATGTCTGTCATCAGGTAGGCAAAAGCAGTGGCGACCTCACTGCAGTCCCTGGGAAGGAGGAAGGAGCATGTTTCTGACTGATTTAACCAGACACTCCCTCAAGCGGGTAGCACCACACTAAAAATGAAGCTTTACTTCTTGGTTGACCTTCCCCACTTTCCCCGCCCTGGGGACGGTATCTGGGGCAGCCTCTGATGATTTGTTTAGCCCTGAAGAGGGATGCCAGGAGGTCCTGCCCCAGCCACACCTTGGGGAGGGTGCAGAAGGGTGTCTGGGCTAGGGTCTAGGCTGCTGGGGGTGAAAACAGTCTTACTTTTGAAGAGAGGTGATGTACTTTCCAGAGAGAAAGTATTCCACCAGCGGTGAGACGCTGCAGAGACACTGCAAGATGGCGTTCATGTAGCAGGTGTTGCCCAAGTTCCGCAGGCCAGTCACCCCCTGGAAGTGGGGGTGGTTCTCATCAGCCTCCTTAGCTGGAAAGGGGTCGTAGTTATCTGTGCACTCTGCACTGTGAGGGGGCACCGGGAAGGAAAGCAAAGCATTTTGAGAAAAAGTATATTCAATGACCGTTAAGGCCCTCTCAACCTCCTGACGCAAAGGAAAGTTCTAGTAAGACTTCCTCCCAGTACATTCCCTGCCAAGGATGGAACATTTCAAACCTGGCATTCAAAACTGCATGACTTGGGTGGCTGGGTGGGAGAGGGCTACTGTAGGGCTTTAATGGCCAGCACAGGGTCAAAACATACAACTGAAGTTTGAACCTATAACCCCTAAAACAATACGATACAAACCAACTTTACCTAATGAATATAGTTGGAAAATAAGTAAAATTGCAGTACTTACTCTTACACTCTGAACAGTACTTGCAGCCAAACAAGACAGAGAGAAAAGTTTATCCTAATACCATCACAAGAGAACAGAAAGCTCCGGCCTCTTAGAGTCCTTGAACTGCTTGGCTAAAAATGCAAATTTCAAAAATTTAAATACCATCAACCTTGCAGTGAAACAAATTCTTCAGCTCGTCAAATTGTTTGAGATTATTCCAGAAGTGCAGAGAAACCGCTACCCTGGACAAGCAAACTATGGGAGAAACAGGCAAGTTGGAGGCAGCAAAAAAAGGTCAGCTTTAATTAGACTCTGGAAGGAGAGTGGGAAGGGCTGTTTTGAATAGAAGTTTAAAGAGGCTGTGGTGGTTTCTCATTGGCTGCAAGCCTGAGCCACTTGTTGCTGGCCCGAGGCCTCCATGAACCGCAAAGTAGTGGCAGGTGTGTGAGACCCTGCCCTTCCCAGCTTCCCAGCTTCCCAGCTTCCCAGCTCCACTTGGAACAGGTTTCCTTTGTCCAGCTTCATGTTTCGCTTTTTTTTATGAAGAGCTTTCCTTGCAAGCATCACTACTCGAGAGTCAGTTTCCCCATTTTTAGTGGAATTATGTTGGGTGCCAGAAAGGACCTTTTCTGGAGGATATCCCAGATTTAGAGGGAAAGTATCCAGTGACTGGAAACCATTTGAAGCCAATTAGAGTAATAAGGTTAAAAAGAGGACTCAGCAATTTCCACTCTAAAGCTCCTACCATAAGCATCTCAAAGCAATGAGTTAAGAGCATTCTATTTAGTGCATCCTCTGCCACTATCAAGGACAGTCCAGGTTTTTTTTTTGTTTTTGTTTTTGTTTTAAGATTTTTGTTTATATACATACAGAACTGGGGTACAAGCCAGAGGTGCAGGAGCAGTGAGAGGGTTCACCAGAGACACAGTGGGGAGCAGAACAGGCAGATCAACAAAGTGCACTGCTGAGGGGAGTAGCCTGTGAGACAGGAGAGGTCTGCTGCGCCATGTGGGTCACTGTGTCCAAAGTCCTAACCCAATGTGCTGCATCCTAAGTCCCAACCCAATGCGCCATCAAGGAGGGCCCCAGTCAGTCCAGGTTTTTGATGGCAGGTCCAACAGAGGTTCCCCCCCTTTAGAATGGAATGGGAGTGTGGACAAAAGCATTGTTTTTCCAAGGAAGAGGGGGAAAAACAAGGTGAGAAGATCTGTTCCCAGATATCCTTGTCTGCAAATCTCTAATGGGTGGGTAGCTCCCAACAGGGACAAAGTTACTCTAGGGGATGCAATTAGCAACAGAGACATTCAGTAGAATTACTTCTAATCAAGGAAGTGAAGTTTACAATCACTGTCCAAGATGAAGTCCAAGAAGGCATTGCTCCCATGATGAATGAGGTAGGCAGAAATTGTGTCTCTAAAAACTATCTATCCGTGCTTGTTAGCAGCTCTTATGTGACATTAGAACAGCATAGATGTTAGCTTGAGTGAGGGAGATATTCAAATTTTTTTTTTTAATTTTTAAGGATTTTATTTATTTGTGCATACAGAACTGGGGTACAGGCCAGAGGCTCAGGGGCGGCGAGAGGCTTCACCAGGGACAGAATGGGGAGCAGAACAGGAAGATCGACGAAGTACACTGCTGAGGGGAGCAGCGGGCAGGTCAGGAGGGGTCTGCCACGCCATGTAGTCACCTCCGGGGCAGGTGGGGATCGAACTCATGCAGAAGTGGCTTTAGCTTCTTAGTGCTGTGCTTTAACCTGCTGCGCCACCAGGGAGGGCAAGATATTCAAATTTTTAATGCTTCCTTATTAAATACAAACCTGAGATCTGCAACTTTCACAACAAAATCGAACATTACTACTATGGAGTACAATATTTAACCCTTTTTTTAGTTGTTCCACAACACAATCTAGGTAGTTTATGAGTTCAGGATGATCAGCAGTAACAGGCAAATTGCAACTGTACTTCGGCACTGGAGTTTGGGTGGATGTAGTTTCTGAGACTTCTGGTGGATCATCACCACTTTGATTATTTGAAGTGACTGCCATCCACATCTCTGAACTGCTTAAACAAAGAACTTAAGGCCTTCTGTAGAAGCTATTGAGTAATTCCGATAGTTTGGAGTATTTCCTCTTTTTCTGGCCACGTCATTTAATTATTAGTAGTAATAATAGGAACAAAAGCTATTATGGGTTGAGACAGGCATGATACTATAAACTTAGACACTAAGTACTTAGAATTGTTATTTCAGCAATGCTATGGGATAGGTACAATTATGTTAAATCTTATTTTATAGTGAAATATGGTTGCATGGCTTAGTCATTTGTCCTTGGTAATATACTCAGTGATATGTGGTAGTATAGAAGGAATTAGATATGATCATAACAGACAATTCGACCATATAAAATACTTTCCAAAACTAGTGGATACAAAAAGCATCCTGAGGGTTTGCGCTGAGTTTTAGAGAGGAAGGGAAAGAGACAAGAAAACACAAGGGTTGGTGGTGAGGAAAAAAGCCAAATAGCAACTTCCAAATCCAGATCTTATCTTATTTGTACCTGAAAATTAGTTGGATCTTTTTCTTCTTATAAAAACAAACAAACAATCATATCAATAGATGCAGAGAAGCAGAGAGAAAGTATTCCACCAGCGGTGAGACGCTGCAGAGACACTGCAAGATGGCTTTCATGTAGCAGGTGTTGCCCAAGTTCCGCAGGCCAGTCACCCCCTGGAAGTGGGGGTGGTTCTCATCAGCCTCCTTAGCTGGAAAGGGGTCGTA